TTTTTTTGAGACAGACTCTCTATGTAGTGCAGGCTGACCTTGAACTCATTTTGTAGTCTAGGCTGGGCTCAAACTCGCAGCAATCTTCCTGCCTCGGTCTCCCCAGTGCTGGGATTACAGGCATGTGCCACCACACCTGGCTAAAGACTCATTGGTCTTTGATCTAGAACACTGTCCAGGCGAGGCCCTTTAGCTTGAAGTCAGTGGGCCTTAACCTCGCTGAAGCCCTCTTTTTGTAAGGTAGCTGAAGAAGAAGGTTTTTGTTCAGCAGCTTTCTGTTCACCAACATGTAATAGCTCCCCCTTTTTTTCATTAGCTAAAGAAGACCTTCCTTCAGTACTGTGACCCACCAGTCTGTATTTTCAGTCTCATGTCTCACCATCCTCCTCTCCAGTCACCTGATAACAGTCTTTCCTAAACTTCACTCTGCTTTTTCCTAACTCTCGCCATTACTGAACCTTCCGGTCTACCTTTTCTATCTGTGGATGGCTGTGTCTTATCCATCCACAAATCCTGCTCTCTACTGCACCCTGGGTTCCTTTGATTCCTTCAGTTTTAGTAAAGGAGAGAAAGCATAATTCCTAGAACGTAACAGCGTGGGCTTAAACCTTGGCTCTGCCATTTCTTTGCTTATTCTTGATAAGTACATTTCCCAAGCTAACACAAGAGAATACAGTATGTATTTTATGAGTCCTCAGTAAGTACTAAAGGATAGATGCAAGTTAAAGGATTCCAAAAAGTATAAAGCAACATGTAAATGATGAGCACTACAGTAAATTGGAACAATGGAACATTTTTATTTGTGTTTTCATTCCAGCTCTTAGGGCGTTGTTTTGTTTTAAGACAGGGTCTCACTCTAGAGTTCATATTGGCCCTGAACTCACTATGTAGCCCAGGTTGGCCTTGAACTGGCAGTGATCCTCCTGCCTCAGCCTCCTAAGTTCTTAGATTGCAGGGGTACAACACCACATCCAGCTCAGAACATCTTATACCCTGTAACCTATACCTGTAGCCTAAGACATCTTGCCTTGCATTGTTTTTATTTGTACATGTTTTCTCTTCCCAACCCCAGATTCCCTGAGGCTCATGCCTTAACCATTTAATTCCTTTCAATGCCTGTAGCACAAAGGCTTGTGTATATGAAGCTCACTGATAAACATTTACTGAATCAATAGATGATGTGAAATATAGTCATCTTTCAGGGTCATCTTCCTTCCTTCCTTCCTTCCTTCCTTCCTTCCTTCCTTCCTTCCTTCCTTTCTTTCTTTCCTTTGTTCTTTCTTTCTTTATTTCTTCCTTTCTTTCTTTCTTCTTTCTTTTTTGGTACTGGGGATCAAACTCACCACCCCGCACTTGCCAGGCAGGCACTGACTCTTGCTTTGTTTCTTTTCTCTTGTTTAGTTTTTATTTTCTTGGTTGCTCAGCACCTGAAGCCTCTTCTTGGTGTGAGTCTTAATGGAAGACAGGGTCCTATTTCCCACAAGAGAAGCCAAAGGTACCTAAAGTCTCCTCACCTTAACGTTGCTAGCAAAGTAAAGTCAACAGGATTCACGATCCATGGCCTATTCTTGGTCATGTGGATGCCCCCACCTAGGACTGTGAATCTTGATTACTATGACACCACAGGGGACAGAGAACAGCTTGTTAGGATGAGAGCAGACACTGGAGATGGAGGTAGTAGTTCTGGATGTGGTATTCTTAACCAGATCAGTTTTTTCTTGTTTTTGCTTTTATACAGGGTTTTGCTTATGTAGTTCATGCTGGCCTGCTGGCTGGCCTTGAACTTGCAGAGAACCTTCTGCCTCAGCCTCCTGGCGGCTGGGAACACAGGCATACACCACCACACCCATCATGAGACCATTCTTGCGGTAGGGCTGTGACTGTGGTCCTTGGTTCTACTTGCTGAGTTTAATTAACTGACCTTCCCATCAACTCAGGATTATTCAATAACCTCCCAACGTATTTTTTCTTCTTAAATTTTCAGAGTAGCTTTCTGTTGCCTGTAACTAAGAATCCTGGGATACTTCCAAGTTGAAGATTTAGGGAGAAAGAGAAAAGAGTGACCTTTTTTGGTTTATAAATTCTGTGTTGTTACTGTTGTGTAACTAGTTCTGTTATTTAAAAATAACTTTTTTCAATAAGTAGAGTACATTTGGGTAAAGATAAATGGTAGAAAATAAAATGAGGCAATTGGATTTGGGCAGTATCGTGTATAGCCTTGAACGTCATTTGAAAATTTGAATATAATGTGGTAACTATAGAAATCTGCTACCAGAGATTGAACCCAAGGCTTTCTGCACACTGAACTATACATATCCCTAGTCCTATTTTAATGTTGTATTTTGAGACAATGCCTCATAAGTCACTAAGTTGTCCAGGCTGGGTTTAAACTTGTGATCCTCCTGCTTTAGATTCTCAGAGTGCTGAGATTACAGGCAGCACCACACCACCTGTCTCCCTTTTTATTTTTATTTTGAGACAGGGTCTTCCTGAGTTGCCCAGGTTGGGCTTGAACTTGCAATCCTTCTGCCTTAGCCTCCCAGAGTACTGGATTACTGGTGTGTGGCACCCTGCTTGGCCTCATCTCTTCGTTTTTTGTGTTTTTTTTTTTTTTTTTTTTTTTATTGCTATGTGGAAGGTGAATTAGAACATGTAGAAATTAGAAACAAGGAGAAAACTTACGAGGAGGCTATGGCCATGGTCCAGATGAAAGACAAAATTTCACTGGGTGTGGTGGTACATGCCTGTAATCCCAGCACTCATGAGACTGAGGCAGGAAGGTTGTTGCAAATTTGAGGCCAGCCTGAACTGCATAGCAAGACTCTGTCTCAAAAAGACAAAATTTCTCAACTGTGGGAAGCGAGGGACATGCACAATGTACAGGATTTTGGTTTGTTTTTGCACTGCTGGGGATTGAACTCAACAGTTCCACATTCCCCATTCCTTTTCACCTTTCACTAGAGGTTGGAAGTAAGGGAAACTTCAAACTTCATCATAGATCTGACAAAGCTCCAGCCACCTGGTAGGGAATTCCAGAGTGGATACTGCTCACTGGACTTGTCCTACTGTTGTGTTAACCGCAATGGCTGGTTACCCCTGCCTTGCTCTGTCACCAGAAGTGACACGATGTCAAATCCAGTGAAACACATTGCTTTTAAAAGCCTGCCTTACAGTTGGATGGCACTCAGGAGCAGCATTCATTATATTTTTGAACACACCTTGTAAAGACGCTCAGGAAAGAAGATGTTGAGAATTGCTTCTCAGAGTGGCAAGAGCCTGGATGGGGGAGACCTGTGCAGGACTGTTCCCTGCAGCGAGGGGGCTGAGGAGAGGAAGCAGCTGGCGGCTGGCTGCTGTCTGTACTCCCTGAAGGCGAGCAGGAGGTTGCCCTGGGCAGCACCTCTGTGTCTACCACAGGGAAAATAGTCAGGATATCCTGAATGGGGTAACGGGGTGGGAAGGAGGGAATGGAGTCTGCGGACCTGGTATCCTGTAGACAAGGATAAGCAGAGGGAGTAGTCACCACTGACGCCTCTGTGTTTCTATGACTTGCTCATAATTCTATTATCTATGAACAGATAGTAAACAACAGGAGAGAACACGCCCAGGGAGAAAAATAATAATACATTTACTTTTGAATATGTTACCTTGAAATGTCTGTGAAGCATTAGAGTACAGATGGTTTTCAAGAAAGCTCCAAATAGAAGCTTTGGAGGTCTGCAACCGCTGTTGTAGTTGTTAACTATGCATATGTTATTTTACCTAATACTCAGACCTCAGCAAGGTAGGTACTTTCTTATACCCCTTTTGTATGTTTTGCTGTAGCTCTGTGAATGAAGAACTGAGACTTGAAGAAGTTAGATGCTTGGCTCAAAGAGATAAAACTCAAATTTGATGACAAACCAAAAATGATACTGTTTCTCTAAGGAAACCACCACAGATAAAAGGTATTTGAAATTGTGGAACTCAGGAGGTCATCCAGAAATAGTACAGTTTCTGCTTTTTGAGCTAGGATCTTGCTATGTAGTTCAGGCTGGCTTTGAACACACCAGGTAGCCCAGGTTGATCTTGAACTCAAAGCAATTTTTCTGCCTCAGCCTCCCAAATGCCAGAATTATAGGTGTGCACCACTACACTCGGCCAAAGTATAGTTTTAAAGGGAACAAGAGAAGTAAATATATGACATTTTGGCCAAGGCATGGTGGCATACACCTGTAATCTCAGCACTCAGAGACTGAGGTAGGAGGATCATCATGAGTTCGAGGCCAGTCTAGGCTACATAGTGAGTTCGAGGCCAGTTTGAATTACATTAATGAGTCTTGAGGCAGGGTGTGTGTGTGTGCATTTTAGGAAAGCCAGCATTTGTAGGATTACATTCAAGGGCTGATCAAAAGATGTAGTGTGATGCTGGTGTGGTGGTACATGCCTATAATCCCAGCACTCAGGAGGCGGTTCAGCCAGGATTGTTTTGAGTGGGACCAGTCTGAGCTAAAGTGCCTGAACTGCATAGTTAAACCCTGTCTCAAAAATAATATATATATAATCTCAAATGAAAAAATTTGTAGTAAAAGACACATAGCCATTAATGCTCCCCAATGTACTCCCCCTCATTTGAGCACAATTATCCCACGGCTCTTGCAATCTTCTGAAGCACTCCTGGATGTTCTCTTTTATGAGTGTGTTTACCAGTTGTGACAAAAAATACAATGAATATAGCTCCCAGGTGCCATCCAATTGAAAAGTGGCCTTGTAAAAGCACTATGGTGGGTCTTCCTCTACTTTATTCACTAAATGGGACATTATGTTACTTCTGGCTCTTCCCCAAAGTCAAAATGACCACAAAAGGTAAGCATTTTGAGTTAATTTGGGCCATTAAGGTAGCCTCGATAGCACAAAGACATAAAAGAAGATTTCCAAAAGTGCTTCAGACGGTGACCAGAATAATAGGGTAAGTATGAAGTCAGGGGGCATAGTTTATGGCAGATTCATGGCAATGCATCTTTTACTATAATAAATTTTTATTCAAACATTCACAGTATTTCTTTAATCATACCTTATAGTCAAAGGATTGAAAAATAGTACCCAGAGCAGTTTTTATGAATTGGAAATACAGTATCTCTAAAGTTAGGGTAAAAGAAAAGTCTAACGCATCAAGATAAATGTTACAGATGTCACAGAGGACAAAAGTTTGACAATTATAGGGTACTGGTGATGTTAGAGCAGTTTATAGACAGAGAATCCAGACTGCAGTGAATTTAAGAGTGAATGGGAGCTGGATGTGGTGGCGCAAATCTGTAACCCCAACATTCTGAGGCTGAGGCAGGAGGATCACTACGAGTTGGAGGCCAGCCTGGGCTACATAGTGAGTTCAAGGCCAGCCTGAATTGCATAGCGAGACACTGTCTCAAAAAAAAAAAAAAAGAAGTGAGTGGGATAGGAGAAAGCAGAAGCAAGGAATATAAACTACTTTTCCAGAAGTTTTGTAAACAATTATGCTACATACGTAAGTAATAAATTTATTAATATTTAATTAATAACTCATTTCCATATTTGTTGGAATTTATCTTTACACCATCCTTCTGGTTATCTCTTTCAACCTCTTTTATACCAGTGTCCCTTCTCAAGTTGGACACACCTGGATGCACTGAATGTTATTTATTTTGGTAGCAGACAATTTGTTTTATTTCCTTACGAGCTGTCAGCGGCTCAGGTGATTCTGTCTTTGGAGGATGGGCCATAGACACCCCTGCCCCAGCTCCTTCATTTGTTTCCCACAAAGATACAGATATGCTCACTTCTTGGACCAATTCAGCAAAGCACGCATGGTGTTAGGTTCTCAGCAAACCAATTACCAAGTGTCCCCACATCCCTTCCCCAAACCCTTGGTGGGCAGATTTGGGAGAAAAAGGAGCTGTCACTGCAGACTTTCTGGGATGTGGTGTCCCAGTTGGAGCATCTGTTTGGCTTCGTGTCAGCTGAGACCTTCCCTTGCCAGCTCTGGTCAACCCAGCCCTTTCTCAGAGCCAGCAGGAGAGTAATTAACATCGCCGTCCTCCCGTGTACAGGAAGATGCCCACAGCCACACCAGCGATGACAAAACTGCCCACCAGGATGCCCAGGACCAGTGAAGTGTAGGAGCGGCCTGTTTGGCTCCCTGCAGAACATGCAGAGAGTCAGCTTAAGAATCTCACCAGAGTCCATGGTTTAAGTCAAACCCCAAGGAATTTCTGCCCCTAAAGGAAAGCGGTCAGGCTACTCAGTAACAAACTGGGTGTGCTCTGCCCCTGCTCCCAGTTCCTGGCCCCAGCAGTTGGCATCCTTCAGATCCGTCCTTTTGCCTGGAACCCGCCCTCTCCCTAACACACAGGCACTGCCCAAGACCCTGGTACCTTTGAATTTTTGCATGGCGACGCGTTTCTGCACATACTCCACACAGGTGTCCTGCAGAAATTCCTGCACTTCATACCGAGTACGATTGTAGCTGTTGAGTTGCTTTAGCGTGAAAGCGACCAGTTTGGAGGGTGCCTGGGGTCCTGACACCCACCGTGCGTCCTCTGGCTGGAAACTCAGAAAGGAGCTCCCGTTCAAAGCCACTTCGAAGAAGACACGGGCCTTGGAGCCCTCGGAGTCCTCTGGCGGCAGCTCGCAGCCCAGGGAGCAGCTGATGGTGACAGGAACTGCGGAGGGGGTTGAGGATCAGAGGCTGCATGGGGCGGGGAGTCCGCGAGGGGAAGGGGACTTGGTGGGGCGCCTGAGAAGGGCCTGGGGGCCGAGACAAGGAGGGTGGTTAAGATTAGACTTTTAGAGGCTGTGTAAGGAGGTGCAAGAGGCTAAGAAGAAACAGGAGGACTCGGAAGAGCTGGGGCAATGAGGGGAGGGGCCGAGGGGTTTTGAGAGAAAAGAGTTGGGGTTGTGAGCGTCTGTGGAGAGGGGCTGGACGCTGGAGGGTGTAGGGGAAAGTGCTGGGGGTTGGGGGAGGCAATAGGCTGTAGGAAGCAAAGGAGTTGGAAGGCTGAGAGGCAAGGAGTGGGGAGTCTTCAGTGAACCCTGGGGGCACAGTGGGTCAGGGACAAGGCCTCCCAACACGGTTCACCCCAAGAAGTCGCGACAGCTGGAAGAGGGTCTCAAGGAGAGCTCTTTCTGAGCACGTCCAACCCTGTGCAACCTCGGGCTCGCACACTCTACCTCCTGAAACCCGTGCGGTCCACACCCAGCCCGCTCACCACGTGCCACCCCACAAATCCCGCCCCGCCCCGCCCCCGACGCACCCCAACTCACAGGTCGCGCTGTCGGCCTGCTCCTTGTGCACCACCTGCACAAAGGTCTGGAACTGCTCCAGGTAGACTTGCAGGTTTTTCTCTCTGCGCGCCCAGGCCTCGGGCTCCTCCACGGGCTGCAGCTGGACGATCGTGACGTTGTTCCTCGTGCCCTCCAGCCTGTGTGTCAGATGTCCCCCCAGAGACGCGTTGCCGTAGTACCTCACGTGACGAGGGTCGCGGAAGTAGGCGATCTGGAGCATGTGGAAGTTCAGGGCGTCTGAGGGCAGAGTCAGGACGTCAGGGCGCTGGCTGGGGAGGAGGCGCTGGCTGCTGGGGATCACGACCTTCCCCAGCGCCTCGGCCAACCTTCTCGGCCCTATAAAGTGTCTTCCCACCCACCGGTGTCCTACTTGATGCTCACAATAACTTTGCCAGGCCACCAGCGCAGGGATTACTTCCCTTAACAGATGAGAAGCTGAAGACTGCGGTGGGAAGAGGCACTCCTGTATCACTTTTCTTTTCTTGTCCCATTTATGGTTGGTCAGTAAATCCTGACCTACAATCAAATTCCAATTACATCTCTCCATCTCTTTGTGAGGCCCTAGTTCAGGCCTCATCGGTTCTTATCTGGACTGGCTAAGTTCTTACCTCATCCCCTATCCTGATATCTCAGTTTCACCACTGCTGATTGGACCTCCACCTGATCCAGGGAAAAGATCTGGTTCCTCTGTTAAGGTCCTCCAGTGATACACTATTCCCCCACACCATAAAAAGTAATAGCTAATATCCATTAAGTGCTTATTATGACTGGGGCACTATGCGTTAATCCATTATTATCCTCTTTGTGCTGTCCCCCCATGGCTTGGTGCCATGTTTACTATTATTAACTCCACTCTATATGAGAAACTGAGGCTAAGATCAAACAGTACAGCCAAGGCTTGAGTGCAGGTAGATGAGTTCAGTACCCTTAACCAGTCTACTGCATTGCTTCCCCTGAGGACCTGTCTGACCATAGATCAGGCCCAGATCCTGGCATTCAAGGCTGCCAGTGACCTGGTCCCAGCTGTGTTTTCTGACCTTGTTCCAGTGCTTACATATCAAATGACTGGAGGTTCTCACTGTTGGCACTTTGGCCTCACATAGGAATAGTATGTGAGGGTTGCTCTGTCTCCCTTGTTCTGCCTGGCAACTTTCTCTTCATGCTTCAAGATTCAGCTGAATTGCTCTCTCCTTGGACAGTTCTCTCTTTACTTTTCCAGACACTTGCACCTGTTTCAGTGATCCCAGAGCACTTTGTGTTTGCATGTGCTTTGTGGGATTCTGAGTGACTGTCTCCAAACACACGCACAGGCTACACTGGACCTTTCCAGGCTTTGGGACCAGGTCTGGCAACCTCTGCCTCTACACCCAGAAAAGGCCAGCACAAGAACTGGTACCTAGAAAACGTTTGTGTGATGTGAGGTTGTGTGTGTATGTATCTTGTCAGTATAGCATTTGAGAAACTGCTCTTTCTCTGCAGATGTGAATAAATATATCTGAGCAAAGACCTTGGACATTTAGACAAGGTCCTTAGTTGCTCTGTGACTCAGTTTCCTCCTCTGTAAAATGGATATAACAACACTACACACATTGCGGGGTCCTGTGAGGGCTAAATGAGTTATTACATATATTAAATATAGTAAGCACTCATTGAATACTGGTTATTATTTGTTCCTCTGAGGAGGAAACTGAAGCTGTAGAGTCTGTGGGAGAGGGAAGTGAAGCCACTGTGCAATTACAGTTCAGGGCAGTAACTCCCTTGTCCTGCTTACATGGGGCCACTTTGGGCACCCTTGTCCCCTTGGAGTTCCCCTACTGGTCACAGCTTGTTTCCCCCCAGTTCCACCTCACCAGCTGTACCCATTCTTCCTCTCTTTTCCTTAGTCTCTCCTGCTTTGTCCTTTCCTAAGCCCCAGTCTTTTCCTAAGTCTTCAGATTATTTTTGGTGCACAGCTAGACTTTGGTCTGCTGGGGGACAAACCAGTTTGCCACTCTCCAATGTAGCTGGGTGTGTTAACCTACTTAAAATGATGTACAGCGAAAAACAGTCTTATTTCAATGTACTCGAATCTTTGCAGTGTTAAAATGGTGTCAGTTGTTACAATAACAATATATTCTTCCTTTTGCTAATAATGTGGCCCTCAAAATGTGCTGCCTGGGGCAGACTGCTGCCCCTATCAGACACACAACTGTTGTATCTCTCCATTCTTTTCCCTCTGTCTTCTCATCCCACGTCTCTTCCCATCTTCTCTGGACCTACCCTGATCATCCTTGGCTTCCCCTCTTCAGACCTCTTTGCCCTTTCCCTCTTTGTCCAGTGCTGGTTCCCTCACCCCCTCTGCTGGTCCCTTTAAATACTTTTCAGTCTATTTCCACCAGTAACCCGAGCAACTCTTTCCAATACTGAACTTCCTAGCGGCGGCTTTGGGACAGAAACCAGTGCTCTGCTGCAATACAGACAGATCCAGCCAGCTGTAGACACAGATGCCATGCAGCTAGCTCTCCTCTGGTCCTACTCATGTACTCAGAAAGGCTGAGAGTCTGCAAAACCATTCAGGCAGGAGACGGTGTCCCCAACTCACCCTCTGAAGTTCCCTGGCTACAAAGGGTCCCTCCAGGCAGCAGCAGCAGCAGCAACAGCAGGGGTGCCAGCAAAGGCAGCAACGTTGTCAACATCCTGAGGCTGAAGTTCTTGATTCTACCTGGGCTCTTGATTGGACAGGCAGGAGGCTCTCCTGACCGTAGCCTAAACAGAGAGGCAAGGCTGTCTAGGAGGGATGGAGTCTGGGCTGAGGAGGATGAAAAGAGGCCAGGAACTGGCAGGAGGAAGAGGTTGTCAAGCTTTTAAAGTGTTATTCCTACTCTGTCTCATTTCCTATTGGGGGCTGACCTCCCTCAGCCCCGCCCAGCACTGGGCCCTCCTGCCCAGACCTGCCTTTTTCCTTTGCCCTGGGCTGCTTCTGAGGAATGAAAACTCGAGCGGGAAAAGGGGGAGAAGAGCTTGAGGAGAAGTCCCGCTGCCGCTGAGTCAGGGGGTGGGGCGTGTACTCTCAGTTGCGGACAGACTCCAGGGTGTACAGATTGGCAGGTTACTGATGCCGAACTGAGGTCCAGAGGGGTGTAAGGACTTGCCCAAAGTTTATACATCATGCTGGTGACTGAGTCAGGGTTAGAATTTAGTGGTCTAGAATAGTTGCATGCATTTTATCAGAATATTAAGTATGCAGCAGTTACACAATCAGGGTCCTTGTTCTGAGAAGTAGTTACCCAAAATGAATAGATAGGAAGGAGCTCACTGTTTCTAATAGGAGAGAATGATGAACAATATCTAAACCTCAGCAGGGACTTGGTTACATAAAGCAATATTTTTCAAACTGAGATCATAGTCTATTAGTGGACAATGAAAATATTTTAACAAGTTATGGTTTAAAAAGTAAAATACAAAATAATAAAATAAAAATAAAATACAGGGCAGGGGATTTAGTGCAGCAGCACAGCGCCTCTCTGACTAGTGCAAGGTTGCTCAATCCCTGGTACCAATACATACATACGTACATACATACATACATACACCATGATGAAACATTTTGATCCGTCACCCTGAGTAAGCATTTTTTATCATGAAATACTTGTTCACTTTCAGGTGGGTGTTTTTATGATGGGTCACAGTGCAAAACACTGTTTTACTCCATGATGTAAGGAGACAAGTTTGCAAGTCTGACAATACGTATTGTGGAATACTGAGCAGTAGTTATAAGCTTCACCCTGCCTCCCCCGACTCCCACTTTCTGTTCTTTGTGTTACTTAGCTCTACCTGAAGTTACACTGTTGTCTACCTGCTCTTGTCAGGCTGTCTCACCAGAAGCTGCATAGGGATAGAGGCTGCCCATCCGCTTTCACAGTGTGCCTTGAATCACGCAGTGTGCCTTGAATCACACGTGTTACGGCATAAATGAATGACTGAGATGGTTATCACGGGCCTGTATCTCCATGAGGAAGTAGAGCAGCATTATACACAGTTTAGAACCGTTTGTCTATTGTCAGCCACACACACAACCAAGTATCTTTCTCTGTGCAAATGAGTCTGGAAGGATGTGTTCCAAATACAGCAGTCTCTCCACGGCCGGCTCGGGACTAAGATGTTACAGGTAGGTGTGCGCTTGTGCCTGCGTACAGGGGAGCAGACAGCGTTGGGAAAATCTTCATTACTCTTCTTTGTGAAAAGTTTTGTCATTCAGTCTATATTGTTTAACATGTTTACATTTTGCATCTAGAATCTATTGCTTGTTTAATTACGCATAAAAATTTAGATGATAAGGTATAGAATACTTGAAACTGGAAGATGGCAGATCATGATAAGCAAATGCACTGATACAAAGGCTCCAGGAGACACTGACAATGCAGAAAAGAAGTGTGCGATGACAGTATTTAAAATGTTTGCTTCTGTCTAACAATACATTTACAATTCTATCCTCAAATTGCCTCATTTAAAAAAAAACCTGTACATGTCTAGCTTTGTGTTTCAGTGTACATATAGCTGACTGCGGTGGCACATTCCTGTAATCCAGGCACTCAGGAGGCTGAGATAGGAGGATCGCTGTGAGTTCAAGGTTAGCCTGGGCTACATAGCAAGACTTTGTCTTTAAAAAGAGGGGGAGCCATCAAAGTCTTTCATTTGGAGGGGTTGTTAGTTTGTTTTGATACAGGATCTCGGTATGTAGTTCACATTGGCCTTGAATTCACTATGTAGCCAAGGGTGACCTTGAACCAGCAGAAATCCTCCTGCCTCAGCCTCCCACTTGCTGGAAATACAAGCATGTGCCACCACATCTGGCATCACATTCTCTTCCCTTTAAGCTTATTAAAGTAGTCTTATTTTCCTGAACTGGGAAAAATGGTTGTTTTCCTGAATCAAAAATTTAAAAAATGCAATAACTTAAATCATGAACATTTACATTATTTTGCCTTTTATAAAAATTTGAGATACTTCAAATTTGAAGTATTGTTATTTCATGCTTGAAGAATTATATTGCAGACACACCTACCCCCGCCAGCCAACATAAGAAATAAAATATTATGCAATGTAATTGAAGCCCCCTGTGGACTCCTCCCCAGTCTCATCTCTCTCTCCCTGCTATAGCTCCTAATCATGTTGAGTGAAAATTCAGTTTTTCACATCCCTGAATTTCTGTATGCTTACAATGCAGATGCATGCATTTCTAAACAAAATACAGTAATATTTTCTACTTTATTTAAATGGTATTAAAGGGTATGCATTCCTCTGCAACTTGTTTCCCTTGCTTACCATATTAACATGACCATCCATGGTTCATTTTAGGAACCAGTAGCATTTAGTTAACCATTCCCTTGCTCCATGTGTAAGATTTTTTTTTTCCTTCATTTCATTTCTGATGAACTGTGCTGGTGTGAACACTGTTTTACATGGTTTCTTGTGGGAGAGTTTTCGTAGCTGCAAACCTGGGAGTGGACTTGGTGAGTCACAGGGTAAGGGCATCTTCAGCTTCAGCAGTCTTTGCCAAACTGTCTTGCAAAGAGGTTGTGCCAATTTACACTCCCAGCTGTATATAAGATTCTCTCTGCTCACGTCCTTTCCAGCCCTGGGCAGTCGGATGGATGTAAAATGGCATCTCATTTTGGTTTGACTTTGCATTCCTCTGACTCCTGCTGAGCTTGTGCATCTTTCTACTTTGCCTCTTTTTCTCTCTCAAGGGTGTGAAGAATGTTCTGGGATGGATGATGGAACAGAGAGCTGTGAGCCTTTGATCTGAGCAGGTAGGGCCCAGACCAGTGGGTTAAAGTGGAGCCATGTCAGTCTCCACAGCACTAATGACACATAACCTTTCCTGTCAAGCTCAGCTCTGTCGTGGACAGAGGCGGCAGCTGCAGATAGCTATTTCCCAGACATCCTCTCATACCCTAGAACCTTGAAAATTAAATAGTGAGATAACAGAAATCATTTTTATTGGCAACATTCACTGTAGGCCAAGGACAACATTTTGTTTTTTGTTTATTTGTATCGGTACCGGGGATCAAACTCACGACTGCCTGCTTGCAAGGCAGGTGCTTATGCCGTTGAATTAAATCTCCAGCCCAACATTTAATTTTTCACATAAACAGTAGTGGTCCTATCAGGTGGGTTTCATCAGCATTACCATTTTATGATAAACTGAGACTCAGAGAGTTTAAATGACTTACCTCTCTTAAAGTCACGCAGCAAGTTATAATCTGAAGCTCTGTCTTTAGGATGCCAAAGTTTGTGAATTTAATGTCACATAGAATCTCAAAATTGTATTTGAAGCCAGGTGTAATAGCACCTGTAATCCCAGCACTTGGGAGGCTGAGGCAAGAGTTTCTCTGCAGGTTCAAGGCCAGCCTGAGCTTCACAGTGAGTTCAAGGCCATAGTGAGTTTAGACTACATAGGGAGAACTTGTGTCAAAACAAACAAACAGGTAGACAAATTTTTATTTGCTCTTTCTCCATCGATACATTTTTAAGCATATACCTCCAATGTACTGGAATGTTTGCTATATTATATACATTATAAAACATGCCCCAAATCCATACTGTGTTAGGCCTATAATTGTTTCTGAGATGGGCCAAGCTTGTCTCCATGTTAGAGGTTAAAATTAAAGCTCAGAAAAATCTAAATAATGGCCCAAGGTCCTACACCTTGGTAAGTGCAGAACAGGGATTTGAACTTAAAGATGCTCAGGGAATGGGGTGAGGTTCAGGGCCATTTGGGGTGGGAGAGCTGGTGAGTTGGGGCAACTTGAGAAGTTTTAAATTCTAAACCCAGGAAAGAAAGACAAAGGGAAATGCTAAGACCAGGGTCCACAGTGCGTCTAGTCAGGGCAGCAAAGGGGCCGAAAGTCACAGAACAGAACGGCGCCAGGCCAGCAGCTGGGGTCTGACTGATGCCTGAAGAATGAGGGTCCTCATGAGCAAAAGGAAGTGAAGGAAGCAAGTGGGAGTGTTTCCCACTTCAGAGAGCACCTGCAGGGGAGAGATAAGGGGAACAGGAAGCTGTCCCGGGCCTGTGCTATCCAGCCCATGGGTGAGGAGAGGCGCTGCCAGGGCTGCAGAGCCCGGCCGAGCCAAGGACTGGCAGTGTGCCCAGCTGGACTCCAGAGAATCACCCCTCCCTTCCCTCTTAGCTCCGGAAGACAGACAACCGGCGCAATTCAGGTAACAAAGGAGCATGGCCTCTGCCGAGGCGCCTCCCCCTGAGGACTCAGAGTCCTTACAACAGTGCAGAGCTTACGATGCGCCTGGCACAGTAATAACCAAGCAGAGTGCTTGTGCTTGTCCGTCATTAGTGCCCTATGAAAACGCTGGGGAACAGCTATGACTCTCGTATTACAGATGAGGCCACAGAGGCGCCCGAGGGAACTGGCTTGCTTGAAGGCACCCAGATGGTCAAAGGCAGAGCCAGGACTCACACGTAGGTAAGGCGAGCTCCGAAACATGCTTTCTTCATTATGAGAACATCCTAGAAGGAGCAGTAGGGTGTTGCGTGTCACTGTGCCTGAACCACAGAAGTGTGGAGTCGGTGGGGAAGATAAGAAAGGAGCATGGCTTAGGAGCAGCAAACCCAGTCCTATTCCAGGAGGGATGACACAGACAAAAAGTGGTTTCCTGAAGGGAAGACAAGGAAATAGATAAAGATCTTAAATCCCCAAACACTTTGATTTAGGGAACATGGAAAGAGGCTCCACAAGGTCAGGAAGATTCCAGCCCATTCCTGTCCCGGTGATAGGTGAGAAACTGATATTTTTGGCATGGCTTCTACCTTTTTCTCTCATTTTATCTTTCCCTGTATTCCTTTCAACCCAACCCTACTTTTCCTAATTTCCTGAACATAGAATTTATAAATGT